TCACCCATTTGCTTTCGTCATCCATTGGCATCACAGAATACCAAATTTAGCTTATGTGAAGCTAGCGAGATCGCCGTGAGCGCATCATAAGTGTGGCATATAGTCATGTTGTTACATGACACGCACCTCATGTTTATCATGTTTGCACCAGTATCATACCTTTGTGATTCATTCAGGTCCCGTAATACCAAATTTTGTATAAGTGAAGCCAGCGAAACGGCCGCCAGCGCATCATGAGCAAGGTAAGTAGTCAAGTTGATACATGATACGCATCTCATGATTATCATGTTTGCACCAGTCACATACCTTTGTCATTCATTCACGTACTGTATTACCAAATTTGGTATATGTGCGCTAGCAAAATGCCCGCGGAGGACATCATGAGCGTGACATGTAGTCTTTTTGTTACATGACACGCTAGTAATAATTTTCGCGTTAGGGTCTGTCGCTTGTGTTCGCCATGCAATCATGCCATACCATACCTGTTTTGCAACATGCCGTGTGAATGAAACCACCGCAAGAGCTGCAAGACTATGAAATGTAAATCATGACATTCATGACATACATGTCTTGATTTTCAGGTTATGACTAATCGCTTATGCTCGTCATACAGTCGTGTTATGTTATACCGATTTCGGTATCCATAGCATAATCCAAATGACCAGGAGAGCTAAAAGTCATAAATAGATAGATAGATAGATAGATAGATAGATAGATAGATATATAGATAGATAGATAGATAGATAGATAGATAGATAGATAGATAGATAGATAGATAGATAGATAGATAGACAGATAGATAGATAGATAGATAGATAGATAGATAGATAGATAGATAGATAGATAGATAGATAGATAGATAGATAGATAGATAGATAGATAGATAGATAGATAGATAGATAGATACGCTCGAAGCCACCAAAGTTTGCTAAGAAATTATTCGCAATTAGGATTGTTAGATTTCACGTACAGTGGGAATCGATGATATCCGAACCACGACTGAGAAAGGTTGATACGTAACCTTAAAATCAGCACAACGTTACGAGGTAGAGGTAAAATATGCCGTGCACGACTTCCGTGTCATGATTATTATGTTTGGATGTGTCGTTTACATTCGTTATTCACGTAATGAGAGGGACGCGAGGATGGCGTCGTGCAGTTCGGACGCGTAGCGATCGGCTCCAGTGATTTCTTCGCTTCTTGGTGCTATGTGAGGCCTCATTCACCCTAAATTGGGTCGCAACGGACATCTAAGATCATCGGGACGCCGTGGCCACAAGAATTGCACTGGTGGATGGACTATTTGTACATTAATAAGTGACTTTCGTGACGACGACGCTGAATGTGCAGCTACAGACGCCGTCGTTCGGCCCAGCCACGCCACTGTCTACGTGGTGCACAGGCACCGCGTCTCAAACAGAAAATGACTTGTTTTCGCCACATTAAGACATAGAAGATGAATCATCGAAACCCCGGGGGACGCTGAAAAGAATAACAAGGATTTCGGATGGATTACGGTGAATAAAAGACAATTGGAATTGAGGAAAGCAAGTAGATCTGCTGGCGCCGGAACGCCGGCGTCTAAGACGAACGCTCAAGAACCTACGCCCGGCTTTCAGAGCTTCAGAGATGTCAAGAAAAACCTTATAAGGGAACGCGAGATGCCACCGCTGCCATGTGAAGAAACTAAGGTCGTCGTGAGGCCGAGAGGTGGTCTGTGTATTAGCAAGCCTGGCGCATCGGTCGTGGCAGAGGCCATATTGAGTGCGACAGGGCTCGGTCCGGAAGATAGAAACACGGACACAATGTGCCCTAATCACCTGCAAAATATTATGGTCGTCAGTACTTCGAGCCAAGAGAATGTTAAGCGCTATGTTAACGTTGAAGCTATTATGGTGGACGGACAGCGCCACGATGTCAGTGCTTATGTGGCTGCTCCGCATGCCACCTGCAAGAGAGTTATCCATGGGATCCCTCTTAGTGAAGATCCAGGAGCCATCGATCGAAAGATTGTCAATGCAAGAAATCCACTGGCCCTCGGAGCAAAAAACATCAAAAATACTGGCGTCATCCTAGTTCTGTTTGACGGGTACAAGGTTCCCAATTATGTTTCTTATGGCGGCACCCTCATCAAGTGCACTTTATACAGGAAGCAAGTTGATGTTTGCTATGCCTGCGGCCGACTAAGACACTGCTCTGACGTCTGTCCAGACGCCCGACGCTTCAGTCTGCAAGGCTTGCAGACAACCTATCCAGCAAGAAGAGGATCACGTTTGTGTGTGTTTGGGATCATGTTTGCAAACTGTGTCGGCGCAAAGCACCTCACCGCATCCAGGGAATGCCAGCCCCGATATCAGATACCCCATGTCGTCCGGCACAGGCGAGGCCTGAGGGCCCACGCCCCTCGGGAGAGGTCTCCATCCGTCAATGTAGATTGCTTCCTCGAGCTCAACGACTGTCATCAGCAGGGCCAGCCCGGACCATCGGCTCCTGGAGGACAATTCAAATCACGAGGGAGATCCAGAACCAGAGGAAGCTGAAGGAGTCGTTCCACGTCCAGGTTGCGTATCAGATGGCGTTCGAGATCCGGGGCCCGCTCCACGTCCACGACGCGGTGTCAATCCAGGGGTGGCACCAGACCACGTCCCAGCTCCAGTGCCTGTTCCGGATCCGGTCTCTGGACCTGGCCAGGGAAAGACTGACGCACCGAGCACCAGACCAGACCCCTCGTTCAGGGCAGACTATAGATATACGAGCATGCACGGGGACTCCAGCTGTCCGGGGCTGTCTACGCCTCAGACGACCAGAGCAGGGGCAATCCAAACCTAACCTGGGCCGACAGGGTTCGTAGTAATGACAGCGAGTAACCCATGCAATGCGACCCGTTCCCAGGGCATGATAGATCGCTTACCAAAATGGCAAATGAAATGGCGGAGTTTAAAAAATGCTGAGCACGATGCGCAGCAATACTGAAGGTGAAACCACCGACACGCAGGTTCCGGCCCCTATTGGAGATGGGCCCATGGCAACCAAACGCAGAGCGGTAATAAGCAAGCTTAAGAACACGGAATCTCAAGTCGAGGGAAGCAAACGTTGGTTACGATGACAGAGAACATTAAGAGAAGGTGGCAGGGAGTGTAGCTTGCCTCACGAAGAGTGTTAGGCAGATGCAGGATGCACTCAGTGACCCAGTAGAGGGGTTTAGGGCAATGAACGAGCGCATCAATGCGCAAGAAAATCACGCCAAACTGCCTAAACCTGCGCCACAGGGTGCGTCGCTTGCAACGTGGAAATGGCCATTCCCATACACGTCGATAGCCCAAGAGCTAATTGCAAAGAGGAACAGATTTTTGTAGCCACACTGACCCCCCCCCCGGGTGGTGATCAAAGTAGAATCCAATTATGGATAACGACAAAGACACTGTCCGTATTTGGCAATGGAACTGCAGGGGGTACGCTGGCAAAAGAGCACTCCTGCAGCAGTACTTTAGAACAATAACAAAGAAACCTCAAATCAGAGCACTTCAAGGGACCTTAGTCTCCTCAGCGTCCTTTTCTGGTTACCGGGCAGTCCCTGGCCAGTCAGGAGGACGAGGTGTCTGCACCCTAGTGAGTAAAAAGCTGACACACGTCGCCCACAACTTGAAGATGGCCAGATGCAATATCGAATATTTAATGGTAGAGATCCTAATTGACACACCACGGCGCAATTAGCAGAAAAAGCGTGTTTTTGTATTGAATGTCTACAGTAACCCCAGGCACAGGCACCAGCAGTTCAAGACGTTGCTCGAAAGGGCAGTTGAACTAGCCGGTCCTCGGCCCCTTGTCATAGTCGGTGACTTCAATGCCCCACATGGCTTATGGGAATACGTGCATGAGACGAGAAAAGGTTGCGACCATTGGCAGGATGCCACCGAACTACACCTTAACTTAATCACTGATAAAGCTTTTCCTACGCGGATAGGCAACTCTGCGACACGACGCCAGACCTCGCTTTCATCAAGAATGTCGAAAAGAGTACGTGGACCAACACCGCCATGAATTTTGGCAGCGACCACTGCATTCTGCAAACTTTTATTATAGTGGACTGTAGCAAAAACCGAGAGTTCACGGTGGTTGACTGAGATCTTTTTCACAGCATTCGCAGTACAAGGGTCAGTGCTCCTGACAATTTCGAGGAATGGTACGAGGGCTTTCGCAGAGATACCACCACTGCCACCAAGAAGATAAAGACAGATTTAAATGTGGAAAAGATGGACAGTAGGCTTGCCCACCTGCTAGTAGCCAAGACAGCTCTATTTTCTCGATGGAAGAAGCAGAGGCACGACCGTAGGCTGCGGCGAAAAATATCAAAATTGGACAAAAAAATCGTACAACATTGCGACACACTGTGCAAACAGCAGTGGGATGAGCTGTGCGAGTCTGTCGATGGTCAAATCAGAAATGGCAAGTCCTGGCACCTTCTGAAGCACCTCTTGGACGAGCACTGCACTAGAGCCAGCCAGAGACACACTTTAGCCCGTGCCCTTCACGAAGCCACCAAAGAACAGGGGGTTGACGAACTCGTTACCCGATCAGTTTCCAAGTACCTGCCGGTCAAACGAGAGGACGAAGACGGCGTGTTCCCAGAGTATGGCGGCCCTCCTCTACCTGAACTAGACGAAGATTTTTCAGAGGCTGAAATCAGGAGAGTGATACAAACGCTAAATCGCAAGTCGGCACCAGGGCCAGACGGGATCACGAACAGAGCCCTCAGAAACCTCGACGACGCATCCATAGAACGTCTAACTGGTTTCTTCACTGAGGCATGGAAAACGGGAAAAGTCCCTGAGGAATGGAAGCTAGCTGACACCATACTGATTCCTAAGCCAGGAAAGCCTCCGAGTGTTGAGAATCTTCGCCCCATCTCCCTCACGTTCTGCGGGGATTAAGTGGCAGAGCACGCGATTCTCAACAAACTTAACGACTACCGTGAGGGAAATGACATTTATGCGCACAATATGACCGCATTTCATGCTGGCCTTTTAACACAGGATGCCATGCTGCTCATTAAGCACCAAGTTCTTGATGGATACTCTAGAGATACAAAGGCTCTTCTTGGCTTAGACCTAGAGAAGGTCTTTGACAACATCAAGCACGAATTTATCTTGGAGACTGTGGCGAAACCCGAGCTTAGACCCAGGCTGTACAACTACATCAAGCCCTTCTTGTCTGGAAGAAAAGCGAGGCTGGGCATCGGGAACTTCTTCTCTGAAGACGTACCACTCGGACGTCGAGGCACACCCCAGGGGTCTGTGGTTTCTCCAGTGCTGTTCAATCTCTGCATGATCAGACTGTCGAAAAGTCTGGCTAGCGTGGACAGCATCAAGCATACCATCTACCCCGACGACATCACAATCTGGTGCGTTTGCGGCAGCGAAGGCTGGGTGCAAGATGCCCTTCAAGGAGCAGTTGCCGAGGTGGAATCGTACTTGCGCCAAACGGGACTCAGATGCTCACCCGCCAAGTCGGAGCTCCTGCTCTATAGAAAATAATGAGGTGGCCGACCTAAGGGATGGAAACCCGTCGAAGAATGCGATATACACATATACATGAGTGATAGAGAGGAAATCACGAGGGTAGACACCATCCGGATCCTCGGCATGTGTATTGAAGCGAAAGGTGGCAACGGCACCACTCTGCGGAAGATTGTCGCCAAAACTGGCAACGCTTTTCGACTCGTCAAAAGAGTCTCCGGGAGGACATAGAGGCCTTAAGGAAGACAATTCGTTAAGGCTCATCAATGTGTTTGTGCTCTGCCAATTTACCTACATCGTTGCCATGTACTTTTGGCTTAGGTCAGGGAGAGACAAGCTCGACGTGGTTATCAGAAAGATGATCAAGAAAGCACTTGGGCTTCCCGTACGCACACACACCGAGAACTTGCTCACGCTCGGTATGCACAACTCTGCTGCCGAGATAGCGGAAGTGCAGCAACGCTCGCAGATGGCTCGCTTGTCCCCTACGACGGCTGGTCGGCGCATACTTGGCGAGCTAGGTTTCAACCCTATGGAGCTGGAAACAAAAGTAGCGTGCGTGTGTCAAAACATATACAGGAGAACGTCATTGTTGCCCCAATACCCCACACACTCACCCTGTACACAACGAGGGACGTCGTCCGGCAAGGGCGACAGCTCTTCTGAAGCAACTGGGAAATGGTGGCGTGAATGCAAGTTTCGTTGACGCTGCAGCATATCGAGACGGCAAAAAGTTCGCAGCGGTGGTCGTGGATCAGATTGGCTCGACTACGAACTGCGCACGGTACGCACCACCAACCCCCAGGTGGCCGAACAAGTGGCCATCGCACTCGCTTTGCTAAATGATCAGTGCGAAGAGGTGTACAGCGACTCCAAATCCGCAGTCAGAGCCTTTCAAAAGGGCAGCATATCAACACAGGCAGCCAGGATCTTGAGCAGCTCCACCAGCGATACGATTTTCCCTCACACCATACATTGAATCCCCACGCATGTCGGCTCCGTAAACGGCGTTGCACTGAACCCGAACGAGTCGGCCCACTCAGCAGCGCGCGCGTTCACTGACAGCGCTGCTCTCGACCTGGGCGACGGCTCCAGTGCCGACGACGTTGGACATAAAGACACACCTACTGCACACAACGAGATTATGAAGTATTACTACATGGCGAGGCGGGCATTCCCAATGCCACATTCAAAATTCAATAGAGCACAGGCCGTCTCGTTGCGCTGACTTCAAACCCATTCGTACCCGTCGTTAGCATACCTAAACGCAATTTATCCTCACAAATTCCCCGATGCCACCTGTGCCACTTGCCGGCAGACCGCTACATTAGCACACATGCTTTGGGAGTGCGGGTCGCTCGGATCGACTTATAGCAAACCCGAGTGGGATGCGCTTTTGCACAGCCCAGAATTTCAGGACCAAATCCCTGGCCGTCCAGTGTGCCCGCGACAGGGTGGTCAGGTTAGACCTGCCGGTCCCAATGTGGGAGTAGCCGGGTGACGCTTGGCTACCTCAGCGTCTGCACTGGACCATAATGAAGTTGTTCTCACTCATTCACTCACGTCATAAGATACCACGATTGGAATATTTGGAGCTAGCGAAATGGCCGCGACCACGCTATGAGCGTGGTATGTTGCCATGTTCTTACAAGACACCCGGGTCACGATTATCATGTTTGCACCAGTCATATACTTTCTTCATCCATTGACATCACGTAACACTAAATTTGGTATATCTGGAACTAGTGAAATGGCCGCGAGCGCGTCATTAAGGGCACAATGTACTCCAACGAAACGTTGACGTGCGCGCACGCTAGTCACAGTGACGATCGCCAGGCGCGATCCGGAGCGACTACCGTCCGTCGGCACGGCCCGACGGCAACTGGCGCAAAATGCGACTTGCTGCATTTCGAGCCGATGTGTTTCCCAGACAGCACTGCGTCTGCCTTTCTTCGTGACAGAGGATATGCCGCACGCGCTAAATCGCGCACAGACAGACAGAAAAAACTTGGCAGCATATCCACGAATGGAATGATGAAGAGTGGGGCGAAGCGTTTCTCCGTCCATTCGTTCTTGCTTCCGTCCGCCCATGTGTCCGTCTGTGTGACCGTCCATGTGTCCATCCGCTTGAACGTGCGTGCATCTTCGTGCGTCCGTCTCTGCGTTCGTCCATGCATCAGCCCCTGCGTCCGTTCATGTGTCCATCCGTCCGTGCAGCCATCCGTGCGTCCGTCGAAGCATCTATCTGTGTGTCCGTTCGTCCATCTATTCAACACTCCAAATACCACCATCTCGCATCTTTTCATCATATATTCCCTATATAAAAGCACCGCCATCCAGCGGACATCCCAAAGACTAAACGAGAGGTGGCACACGCACACTTTCTTACGACCTGCGCTTCGGGTCTACTTGCCCACCTTTAACCACCTCGAGTTCATGGTATATACTAGTTCACTGTATTCATGGCACTGCGGCCCAACGCTCGCTAAACCTTTCTAAAACGAAGGGGGCTACGCCCAGCGAGTATAACGTAGCAACCTTTTCCTGTCAGATAGTGTTCAGTTTACATGCCAATGGCTGCTAATGGGAAATGAGAGAAAGGAGGATTCGGCTTTCACTTTCTTACGACTTGCGCTTCGGGTCTACTTCCCACCTTTAACCACCTCGAGTTCATGGTATATACTAGTTCACTGTATTCATGGCACTGCTGCCCAACGACCGCTAAACCTTTCTAAAACCAAGGGGGCTATGCCCAGCGAGTATAACGTAGCAACCTTTTCCTGTCAGATAGTGCTCAATTTACATAAGAATGGCTGCTAATGGAAAATGAGAGACAGGAGAATTGGGCTTTCACTTTCTTACGGCATGCGCTTCGTATCTACTTCCCACCTTTAACCACCTCGAGTTCATGGTATATACTAGTTGATTGTATTAATGGCACTGCGGCTCAACGCTCGCTAAACCTTTCCAAAACTAGGGAGGTTACACCCAGCGAGTATAACACAGCAACCCTTTCTTGTCAAATAGTGTTGAATGTACATGCCAATGGCTGCTAATGGGGATTGTAGCGTGCGGGTTAACTAAAAGCCGAATGCTCCTGTCTCTCATTCTCCATTAGCAGCGATTGGCGTGTACATTGAGCACTATGTTTTTTTTTGTTCAACAACGCACAGAAGAAATCTCTCACCAGCACCACCTTGCAGGTCAAAATTTTATACTTGTTACACACTACAACGGCTAGAAGGGACGAACAGGTGCCGCTATAAGGAGCTTCGCCCCTAAAAAAGCCGGTAGTGTGTGTGACCGTCCTTTCGATCGGGGGAGTTGGCCAGCCATGCAAGCCGCCTTCCTCCCGGGCTGCACTGAGACGGCGAGGAGTATTTCGGAGAGTCATACGTATTTAGAAATGGTCCTTGAATTTAAATTGACTTGCCACAGCCTACAATGCAGCGCAAACGCATTTCGAACGCGGTGTCTTAAGTCATTGCCAAGGCATGAAGCACAAACGCGTTCCAAACGCGCTGCATTGAAGACGGTGACAAGTCAAGTTCAAGACAAAAAACATTTCTGAATACGGGGAAAAGATAGTGCACAATTTACTTTCTTTTTGCTTTAAAGGTCTTTACCTTCTTGGGAATGCCGCCACACAAATTCGGCATTTTGCTCGAGCTGCTGCGCCCCGCCATCTCCAAGCCAAGTATTCCGTGGTGGCCATGGTGCTACAAACCCAGAGGGACGCACTGGTTTGTATCTGGCGGCAGGAAGCCAGCGCAATCAAAAAACAAAAGAACAAAAATTGGGCACCGCTGATTGGTTCCAGCTGCTTTGCGACTGCAGCCGCGCGACTGAAAAATCGGTCAGGAAGTGACTAGCCAAAGCAGTCGCTTTGCTACAGTTTGCAACCGTTCGCGACTGTTTGTGACCAGTCACAAATGGTCGCGCGACCGCTGCTAGTCGCCGGAGTGCGCCAGCCTTTACGCCTAATAATCAACTTCAAAAGCTCTGCCAGTTCTATTTTGTCTGTTGTACTTGAGACTTTCATAATTTGACGCTTCTTAATGAGATTCTTTGTTTTCTGGGAAAGCTTGCCAGTGTCCTGTCTAACTACCCTGCCTCCAACTTCCACTGCACACTCCGTAATCATACTCGTCAGATTATCATTCATTGTATATACGCCGAGGTTTCTTTCTTCACTGAGAGCCGAGTACCGGTTTCGAAGTGAGATTCTGAGTTCCAGTACTTTCCCTCTAAGTGCTAGCTAGCTCATTGACTGGCTTCTTGCGTATCAATTTCTGTCGTTCTTTCTTCAAGTCTAGGTGAATTCGAGACCGTACCATTCTATGGTCACTGCATCGTACCATGCCTACCATTTCTACATCCTGCACGATGCCTGGGTGTGCACTCAATATAAAGTCTATTTCGTTCTTATTTTCTCCATTAGGGCTTCTCCATGTCCATTTGCGGATTCCTGGTTTCAGTAGAAGGTGCTGCGTGCCGCAATGCAAAACCATATGGGCACAGGGCGTAAGAGTGCTCCACGTCCCGACTTGCTCTAGCTGACAAAAGCGCTGGACCACGCAAGTCACGCGAGATTGCTACGAGCCAACTACCTCTTCCTGTGTTTGAGAGGTGAGTACCCGTTGTATTGCGAATGAATGGAGTATATCACCTCATTATTTGTGATATGATGGCACTGTCATGCGACAAAAAGCAGTCCGCGCGATGTGAACGCGACAACTTGCTCAGTAAAAAAAAAGGGGGGGGGGAGTGATGACGATCCGTTCGGCTTTGCCGGGCTATGCGATTGAATGCTGGTTAAGTTGTGTATACTTGTTTATCATCAAAGTCAAAGCGCAGTTCACCAATTGAAAGACAATATGGAGTTTTAGAATAGCGCACCACCAGCCCTTGCGGTGCTGTCGCTGCCAATAGGCATGCGTCGTAAAGCGAGTCAGTGTTTACGCTCGCGGCCCACGCGCAGAAAATCCGAAATAGTGTGTGGCCATCGCGGCCCGCAT